TTAGGCTGACCGCTTTTTTGAAGGATGAGGGAATTTTGTGGATGCAGCATTCTAAAGAAAAATGGTTAGCGGAGGGGGATAGAAATACTAAGTATTTCCATGCATTGGCCTCCTATTGATGCATAATTAATTATATTGAATATGTGTGGTTTGAAGACAAAAAAGTTAAGGGTAACACAGAACTAAGGGAGGCTGCCATATGCCATTTTTCCAAGCTGTACACGGAAAACCTTGTTGTCTGCCCCAAATTAGACGGTCTTCTCTTTAATAAAATTTCTGAAAGGAGTAGGCAGTAGTTAGAAATAGATTTTTCAGAGGTGTATGATGGTATGAAATCATATAATGGGAATAAGGCTCTTGGGCCCGATGGATTCAATATGAAATTCCTTCTATTTTTCTGGTATTTGCTGAAAAATGATATAATGAGCATATTTAAGGAATTGCACTCTACGGGCAGATTTGTGAAGTCCTTGAACACTACTTTCATTACCCTTAATTTTTTTAAAAAAATGGGGTTAAGGAAGTCATAGACTATAGACCAATAAGTCTGGTGGGATGCATATGCAAATTAATTGCAAAGGTGCTGGCTAGAAGATTATCAAAGGTGCTGGGTGAGATTATTGGGGAATGCCAACATGCATTTGTGGAAGAAAGACAAATTTTAGATGCTGTGATGGCGGGAAATGAAACAGTTGATGATCTTTTAACCAATAAGAGAGAAGGTTTGGTGTGCAAATTGGATATGAAAAAAGCATATGATCATGTAAATTGGACCTTTGTGAACTACATGCTCAACAGAATGGGTTTTGTGTCAAAATGGAGAAAGTGGATGAAATCATGTATTACAACTGCCTCTTTAAGGTTTTAATCAATGGTGGCCCCTCAAATTTTTTTACAGCCTCTTGAGGATTGAGACAAGGGGATCCTCTTTCTCTCCTTTTTTTCATAATTGTGATGGAATCTCTCAATGGGCTACTGGTTAGGGCTAATGAACGCTTGCTGTTGAGGGGTGTTTCGGTTGGTAGGGGTGATAACTGCACGATAGTGACTCATTTGTTCTTCGCTGATGATACTTAAATTTTTTGTAAACCTGATTTGAAGAATCTCTTACACTTGCAGTGCATCCTTCTATGTTTTCAAGCAGTTTCGAGACTCAAAATAAATTTCAACAAATCTGAATTGGCCAGAATTGGAGGCAGCAGTGATGCTGGTCCTTTTGTTAGAATTTTGGGCTACAAAGAAGTAAAATTTCCTTTTAAGCATCTTGGGGTTCCTTTGGGGACAAAATATAAGAACCTTACCACTTATGAACCGAGCATTAATATGTTTAACAATAGACTAGCAGGTTGGAAAAGAGGTTTTTTGTCAAAAGGTGGCATATACTCTAATCAAGAGCACTTTGCCCAATATACCAATTTATTATTTATCTACGATAACTATACCGGTGAAGGTGGCAAAAAGGTTGGAAAGTATTCAATATAAGTTTTTGTGGGATGATGGTTTGGAGAAACGCAAATATCACTTAATCAAATAGGAAGACATCAAATTACCACTTGATTTTGGGGGTTTGGGGGTGCGTTCTTTGATAAAATTGAATGAGGCCCTTCAAGGAAAATGGCTATGGAGGGTATTGGGGGAAGAAAATAGACTATGGAGAAGGATTATAGAAACTAGATGGGGTGAGCACTTGCACAACAATAGTGATGGCTGAATTAAAATATCTTATGGACGTAGTTTGTGGAGGAAAATTTTAATGATGAGGAAACCTTTTCAGCAGTGTTAAAATGGAAAGTTGGTTGAGGCAACAGAATTAATTTTTGGGAGGATGACTGGGTTGGTAATGGGTTGTCTTAGGAGGAGATTCCCGAGAATTTATAATATTGCCCAATCGGTTAGGAGGACACTTGAGGAAGCTTATAGGCTCACAAATGGAAATACTGTCTGGTGCATTAATGTAGAGCAGAATTTAAATGATTGGGAGATTGAAGAATTTGAAAACCTACTGAAGTGTCTTGATGCACAGCAAATTTCTGACAGGGATGATCGGGTTGTTTGAAATCTGGAAAATAATGGAAAATTTTCTGTTTCTTCTTATTACTAATATTTAAGTGACAAGGGAGATGATAACAGATTGGAATTTCCAGCAAAGCTCATCTGAAGATAAAAACTTCTCTCAGAATTGCCTTCTTTGCGTGGGAGGCGTGCTGAGAAAGAATTCTTACCCTGAACAGATTGAAAAACACGGGCAGGATCATTGTTAACGGATGCTACTGCTGTCTAAAGGCTGAAGAAACGTGTAACCATCTACTTTTGTGGTATCCTACTGCTTACAGCTTATGGTGTAAGATCTATGGTTTATTAGAGATTAAATGGGTTGTCTCGAGTTTGGTTGGGAAGGAGATTTGGACTTGGGATGGTTTTTATGTAAGAAGAATATGACAAACACTACTCATTTGACTGTTTTTTAGGTCATTTGGAAAGAGAAGAATATGAGAGTTTTTGATAGTGTTGAGAGTAGTACTAATAGATTAATAGATAGGTGGATACATTTATTTGGGTAAGTTATGCTAAGTCATGATATCACTAGTGATATAGATTTTGGGGATGTCATTGACACTTTAACTTCTATGTAATTGCTTTTGTACATAGGTGGTATCCGTTCATTTGGTACCATGTTAATACATACTTCACACTTTTTATTTCAAGAAAAAAATTTATAGGAAACTAATTTTATTTAGATTCCTATTGCAATTGAGGAACAATAGTCCTGGTTTATTTCCTATTCCCTACTCTAAATCTAAATGCTTAAAGAAATTCTTAAAAATTCAAACTCTCATTGGTTACACCAACTTCTTACCCAGTTTCCTATCCAATTGCAGACTCTTCTCAGCCAAATTCCTTCCCTTTGCTGCTGCTTCTATTGGTCTCACACTTGTATCCAGTAAAGTTATCCTATAAAATTGGCTGCAGGACCTCTTCTTTTCGCAATTTCACGTCACCTTTACATCTTCTATTACTGCTTTGATTACTAGCCATGAATGAGAAGGAAAAAGTTGGGGATTTCTTTAGAATATTTGAAATGAGTAGTTTTCTTTTCTTTTAAATTTTTAGAAAAATTTTGCTAATATTGCTGTATTTTTCCTAATAGGAAAATCATGTTGGTTAATTCAGGCTCTTTTGATCACTTTACACGTAGCCGCTTGAAAAATAATTTTATTCTTCCTTTTTCTAGAAAGAAGAAAGTGGTGTTCCCTCCAAGGTTAGAGCCTTTATTTGGATAGCGTGCTTTATGAAAATAATATCAGACTTTCTTCTGGTTTGCAGACCGCAAATTGCTGTTTCCCCTGATGTGTCGTTTGTTTTTGCATTGTGAGGTGGCTTGAAAGGGTCGAGCTAACTTCCTCCTTCAAGCAAGACTGGTTTTGCCCCTGAATTTTGGAGATTTTCATCTGTATTTCCATTTGTGGTTTTGGGAGCAGTATAGAGCATTCCAGACTTTGGGGAGGGGCTTTTTTTGCTGGGCTTTGGGTCATTTGGTTAGAGAAAAATGTTAGAATTTTATCAGCGGAAATTCTCTTATGATTATGGGGGATAATATTGCATGCTTAGCCTCTCTTTGTACTAATGTGTAAATTTCTTCTGAAGGATTCCTCTTCTAAGATTCAGAGGGATTCAGCTACTATTTTGTACCCATTCTTCGGTTATCTTTGTTCTTGTGCAAATTATTTTGCCTCTAGAGGATAGTTTATGCTCCTATAAGTTGCTTTACTAATATAATTCTTTTTCTATAAAAAAAATAAGGTCCAATATGTACCTCACTTTTTATTTTTTAAAAAAGGTCGATTATGTACCTCGTTGTGAATAAGCTGCCAACATTTTATTTTAAAGTGAAGTGCAAATTTGTTTCTGCATTCAGTCTGCATACTCATGGGATTTAGAAGTCTCTACAGATTATTACATCTCTTGACCAGATAATTGGTTAGGTTGAACCAATTGATTATGTTAGACGATTTGTATGTCGAAAAATTAATTTTAATTTTTCTTAAGGGAGGAAGCTGCAAATATCTTAAGATGAGATATCCTATCTTATCAAAAAGAAAGATGAAAGATAACATTCAGATTTTATTTCCTTGTCTAGGTTTATTGATAGAGTAAATCAAATTATTGGAGGGCTTTAAAATGAGCAGATGTTTATGCACGTGAAACTAAAAATTTTGTTACATATGTTTGCAATCCGAAACCCAACTACTGAATTATAAATCTCTTAAAGTTTAATCAATATCTCAACTACTATTATTTATCAGTGTCAATTTGAAAATTGTCATAATCAAACTCTTGTAATTTGTTTTCTTAAATTTATTTTTTCAGGTAATATTGCAAATTATCTAGAGCTTATGGAAGTAGAATCCATGTATCTTCCAGTCCCAGTCAATTTCATTTTTATAGGATTTGAAGGAAAAGGGAACCAAGGTTTATGACTTTTTCATCTTCTTAGTTGCTTGAGTTTCATCAGATGGGTTCTTTTACAGATTTTTTTTTTTTTGTAATTTTCTTTTAGAGTTCAAGCTTCATCCTGAAGAACTGGAGCGATGGTTCACAAAAATTGATCACATCTTTGAGCATACACGAGTTCCACAAATTGGAGAAGTTCTAAGCCCATTTTATAAAATTAGTATGGATAAGGAGCAACATCACCATCTTCCCATTGTTAGTCACATAAATTACAAGTAATGCTTCTCTAAGTTACCTTTCCTTGAGTTGCTTACTGATGCACCTTCGTGAAATGCAATTACCTCTTTTGATTTTGTTTTTCTTATCATGAGGATTTTTTAATGATGGTATCTTCTTTTTATGCAGTTTTTCTGTTCACGCCATACAAATGGGAGAAAAAGTTACGTCAGTGTTTGAGCGTGCAATCAACGTTTTAGCCTGCAAAGATGATCTGTCTTCTAATAGGTGATAAACACATCTGCACTATGTTATATGTAACACCAAACAATCATTTCTTGGGTGGGTGGGTTAGGGTCCAGTCTCTGTTCATGTAGGCTAAGTTTGCTTACTACATACTTTCACCTTTGCTTGATTCATTGTTGCTATAAACATCATTAATTTGGACAAAATCCAAAATTTAAAAACTTTTCTTTCCTTGTAGTTTTTTTAATAATTTTTAATTTTCATATTTGTTATGGTTTAAGGAGCAGGTTTTACAAACATCATGGTTTTGAAGCTTTATGCCCGATGAGCATTGGGTTTTGAGCCCTTTTATTATGTTTTTTTTTTTTTGCTGTTTTGGTTCTTCATTTTCTCGGATCTTTTTTGTCAGAGCAAAAGAAAATGAGAATTAATTGCTCTGAACGGTTTGTAATCAACTATAAATTATTTTTTAGTTAGATGATCTACTTCTTGAGATGTTCACG